CTTTGGTAGACATTAGCGTCTCTATTACAATACGCTTCTCAAAGTAAACGTCCGAGGAACAAGCTAATTATTTCTCGATTACCATCGCACACCATTTCTGCGAATTGGTAGAAATATATTACGTAAGAGACTCACCAGAACAACCAGCAGCATAATCTTCCCGACGACGAAGAAAGCACTCCAGAACGTGTCGTTAGTCGCTCGAAGCACCGACTCACTTCGAACGTCGTAGGTGAAATGAACCAGTGACACCGGCACTATCTGAACTCCTTTGTTAGCTTGTACCTTTGGTATCTAACAGTCAGGGGTCTACAGAGCAGACTACACACTAACCAGTTAATGCCGCTATAGTAATTCTAATTATTACAGGGAGCAGAGGCTGAGTAGAAAAGGTGAAGCAAAATGGTACACTGACCCCCCTCAGGGATTCCTGCCAAGATTTTGATCACCATTCCACGAACTATTCCACATTCCCTTCCCCTCTCTTGCCTCCTCCCTTCATCCCCTCATTGAAATATATCAGAAAAAGTAATCACTGATTTACCTGCACTGGGTTTCCGGTCTTCATAGCGACAATGTCCACATCCCAATCACGTTCAAATGGATCCTTAATTTAAGATTAACAATACCACAGATTTTCAAATCCTAGAAGTTTCATGAATGTTTGATGAAGCTAGAGTGATATTCCGTCGGAATGCATCATTCATTGAATCTCTGTTGGCGAGTGTATGGACATGGAATCTTCGCCGTGGCTAGTGTTAGGCTAGTCCCTTCCATCTAGTTCGTTGGTCGAAATTCAACGAGTACGTCGTATATTTTGAGAGGCAAAATTTTTTTGGCCTGATATGTCTAAAGAAGTTGATGCTGCACTGAAAGGAGAGGGAGTTTTGGAGGGAGGGGAAATTTTCTGATTTTTTTTTTTTGTTCCTGGTTGATGGACTTCTTGTAAATGGAAGACAGACTTGAGCTTCGCTCCAGGTGGGATTTTAACAGGCTTATTTGAGAAACTCTGAATGGAGACTGTATCTCGAGATCACCAGGAACCTTCACTCATTCAGGAGGTTGTGAGTCGCGGTGATCCCGAACGTTGACCATTGCAGTGGTAATACTTGTACTTTGTATGAGCTGCAGAGGTAGTATGGGTAAGCTAGACGGCTCATTATTCTGTATTATGGAGCCGCCTAAGATTGGCCGGTCACGTTGGAGGTCTACGTTGGGGCTGCAAAAACCTATTCGTTGTCCTATTCACATGGTGTTGTGGCGAAAGAAATTATACGGTCCTCATCACCTTCACGACAACGAAGGTGCCACTTTAGGCCGTCAAGTGCAAATGCGGAAACGGAGCATTTCAAGAAATTTTTGTGGGTGATTCAAATTCCAAAATAATGAAGCCATGCTAATCCGTGACTAATACCTTTATTCGTGTGCTGTTGAAAGTGCAGAAGCGAATGCCGTATGATTCATCTGCAACATTCACCGATTCGTTTCACGTGAAAAACGAACGGCTCGTCGATGAAAGCTCCAGAGCGGATAAGTTTCTGAAATGACCGTTGCTCAGAAACCGTCTCAGACAGTTCGCTCTAAGAAGTCCTAACCTCGATTGCAGCGACCATTCGTGTTCGTCTATTATCGGCGAACATAGGACCTCCCCAGGAGCCGTTTGGAAGCTCTTTCTCCTCAACGACTCGTCCGAATTCCACGAATAGACGATCAGCGCCAAATACTGATCGAATGTGGTCACCGGCTTCATCGCTACGAACCTGTAGTGAATCTTTGATATCAAAAATGGGCTAATGATGTCAAAACGTGCTCAATAACCAGCCTTGATTAGGTGGAACGTAGTTTAGGTCTGCATAAAACATGAGGACAAGGATTTGGTTTTGATCGACCCCCTTAGGGATGCGGCACGCATCTACTTCCTATTTGACATCGTAGTGGCGTTTGAATGCGATGTGGCCTATACAATGACTTGCGGGGGCCAGCCGATGTACAAGTCAGTGTTTTTATCCTCCCAGACAAGTCTGGTACCAATTAACCGACCCCGGAGGGATGGAAGGCTTGGTTGGCCCGGGCGACTCACGACCCAGGATTTGATCCCCGGACCGCTCGCGTGGTAAGCGCGCCACTTGCGGCACTACACCAGTTCTGAATAAATGATCTAAATCGAAAGACAAACATCAGCCAAGTTTTTTTTTGTTCTCTTGATCATAATTCCCAAACACCTTGTAAAGTGGGAACACATTTTCCTCTTGCCATCGCAGTTTTCGAAAACAACTTCTGACATATGGGGAAGCTTATCGCTATAACAATCTAGGATCTTAAAGGTTCTCAATTGTTCTCTGTTAGTCATAGCCAGGGTCAAGTGTGTGTTGTGAAATGTGCGCTGAGGAAAAGGAAGTCTAATCGGCCTGCATCAAGGGAAAGAACATGGGAGTGGATAGTTTTTTCTTAAAAATGCCGAGCATCGTGGAGGATCAAAAGCGTTGCTCTCGTTTTGGTTCTGTGCAGCATTATGTTTGGGAATCGTCGCAAGATAAACGATACAAGTATATGGCCTCCGAACAAAATTCTATATTGGAACCTAGAGGAAAATTACTGGCACTCGAAGTCAGGTGATAGCCATGGATGACGCAGAGGCTTGGGATTTTATGACCATCACTCCTACTAACCACGCCATGTCCCGTTGTGCTGTATTCTTTGAGGTAGCGCCCAGATGAAGGATGGGTTGGCAAGAACAGAATCGTCGTATCGTATCGGCTTCACCATGACATTCATAGAAATAGGATCCCACGTAGCATTGACATCGCTGCTGGGTAGGCACTGTATATTCCCAAACGAATCTCGGCTTACACAACCACCATCAGGTGAGAGCACATGCGTCGTAGGAGGGCAACGACAGCTAGAAGTAGGAACTTTATTTCCTAAGAAAACTGCAAAAAGATTAGTAGAAAGATGAAATGCTCTACGTTCTTGGCGATTCACAGCCAAAATTGCATACGATTCCGGTGCTCAAGAGACATTTCTTGCTCCTCTCATGATGCCTCACCTCGGCTGATGAAGATTCGAGCTGAAATCACGACTTCATTGAAATCCAAGAGAGAAAATTGACAAATGTTAAGAACTAACCCTAGTTTTCAGCTCAGACGCTGCCCTTAGAATAGCGTCCTCCTCCGAAAAAGTCTGATTGACGATAGATAGCTCCAGAGCGGAATCTTCGGTGCTGATTTTCCTGCAACGGACCTTCTCATGACAAGAGGGTTCTAGCCTGTGACTCACATCAGAAAGAACCGCCCTCCGTCCATGCTTGGGGTTCACGAGTGAGGAGTGAATGACAGAAAAAATCTAATAGGGTGAAAATCTTACCTCCTGAGATCTGCGTCATCTAAGGCCTTCTCGAGATGTCTTACGGACTCTTCAAGTTCTCTTGAAAGTTGTTTTCCTGTACGTGTACTCGATTCGCTCTCAGCAATCTCTTCCGAATCATCGTTTGCCGTGAGATCTGTGTTCTGGTCCTCCTCCAGATCCACAGACACGGTCGACGTCGATCTGCGCTCTTCTGCCTTTGGGTGTTCTAGGTCTGCCTCGACGTCGACCACCTTTGCGCCTTCTGTTGTGTTGACTTCATCCATCTCAGTAGTCATTCTCACTGATGTCGTCTGTACTGACGGCGTTGTGGTTGTGCTCGTTTCCTCAGTTGCTATGGACTCCGACACTGTCGTAGGTAGCAGCTCAGTAGACCCTTCAGTGGTCTCAGTTGAGCTCATGGAAGTGGATGGCATGAAGGTCGTCGAGGTGGTGGAGGTCGTGGAATTGGTGGATGTTGTTTGGGTAGAGGAATCAGTGCTAGTTGAAGTAGTTGCTAGATCGTTGATCTCCTCAGCTCTTTCGATGGCTATGGGTGCATCTGCTTCGTGCTGAAAAAAGCCAAGGCTTCGTGTAATATTTTAGTAATGGATCAGCTTATAGAAATCGAAGTTTCGTTTTTCAGAATGCGTCATTGGAATAGTGCCCAAGAACCCAGGCGCTTCGAATTTTGTCTTACCATACTACCTATTTACTTAAAAAGACCTTGGCAAAGGCGCGTCCGCTCTTAACATCCGCCTCAATTGACTTACAACAAAAAATCCCCACGCTTAGAGGGCGAAAAATCCAATTGTGTATAAGTCAGAAAAATGCACCGTTGCGACGCGACTGCGCTGCAGGTGAAATGCAAGCAGCTCCTCTTGCAACCACAGAACCCTTTTTACAACTAGCGACCAATATTGGCCTCAAAGACGCACACCACGATCAAGTCGGTATGATTCTTGCATGCGAAAGTGGTAGGGTTAGACAGTCGGTAGGAAGAAAAAGATTATACACAGTGAAATTGAGGGCTGCCTCACTTCTTTTGAGGTAGGCTGTGCTACCACAAAGAGAAACTGAGCGCCGCGGAGAGAGAATATGAGAGGAAGCATGATGAACTAGAGGGCGCAGACACATCGCTAGAAGGGTGGTTACGCCGCGGGCAACCAGAGCAGCAGTTTTTGGCAACAAAATGGCACATGTACGACCTCCTTTGGCCAGTTCTATCCCAGCCACCAAAGGGATTGACCCATACGCCTATTCAATCAAAGGTTATACTACCGACGAAAAAGCGAAAATGCTGGAGCTGTTACTCACCGTGTTCACTTGAGCTACAGATATGTTGGTGATTGAATGTCTTGGGTGTCCTTCTTTCCCAACCAGAAGGTCTGTCTCCATTCGGAACACTGTTGGAGATGGGACAACCTAAATAGATTCATCGAAGAATGCCAATGGGAAGGAAAAGCAAAATCACTAAT